GGCGCAAGGAAATAAAAATAGGCATATAAATATAGGTGGGAGATACCAGTATAATCTATGAGTGCACAAACATGACTAAAAATAGTTCAATATAGGTATGCACACGTCTAGAAGTTTCGTATAGTTATAATGTAGACATGCACACAGCTGTAAGAATGCAAGTGTATGTGTGTATACACCGGCGCAGTGTAATTGAATGCTGAATTTTACTGTCTTTTTGCTTTCTCCACCAAGTCCACTCGAGGGTTTTTCATTTTCATTTCTTTTCTGAATTCCTCGCACTTTTTTATTTGTTCAGGGTCTTCAGGGGCCCCCGGCAGCAGCTGCGGGTAGAAGCTCTGCAGCTTCACTGCTGTCTCTTTTGGGAATGGCGCCTGCCCCACAATGTTTCCAGCTGTGGAGACACATCCAACACACAACCGCAGCCCAACACACAAAAAGTAACATAGAACGCATTCACGTCCGCTACTACAGCAGTCACTGCTACTACCGGCGCAACAACCAGAGAGGCCCGCGTAGAACCGCCTAAGTGTGGGTGGTTGTGCGTGTGATGAATTTTTAGATGCGTTGTTGCGGGGTAATTCGTGTATGTGCTTGTGAAGCGATGTTGTTGTTGCTTGGGGAGGCTTCTGCATAGCATGTTATGCTGTTTACCTGGGGTGTACTGGCAGCCGACGAGCAAGAGGGGCCTGTTGTTTTGGCACTCCCTTTTGCAGACGACGTATGCGCATCCCAGTTCTTTGGAGTCATTCCACACGGTGGCTGTGTAGTGACCTGTCATAAGGCCTTCTGCATGCGACTCGATGCTGCACTTGGGGCCCAGAACACCAGTGCAAGGATTCCCAATCTTTCCGTACCTGAACAGCCAACAGGAACCCAACACATATTCCTAAAGAGCTAAACACAAAGTTTTGTTGCTTTATTATACTATAACAAGCACTACTATATGCAAACTAGAAGCATCCAATATTGGGAGAACCACACAACCCCACGCCTCTACTTTGCCTGCTGGTCATCTGTTTAAATTGCATGCATTCCTGTGTCCATAATGCATGAAACTTTATATAAGGTCGCGTACAAAGCACTCATGGGCGTGCATGCGCCTTTACAAGGGTGCACGCTTGTACATTCATCTGTGTGTGTGCCCTGCTTGCAGGCAAGCCAGTTCGAGCAATTTGTCTGTACACTTCCAACGACTGTACCTGAAGCAGTTCCCTTCGCCAGACCAAGCGTCAACCACTTCACGCGGTAGTTCTCCAATAGAGCAGGCAGTGTACAGATTTTCCCCCAAGCCGCCTTTAATATCCGGCTGAACACACAGACAAGGCAAGCAAATATACACGTAGGAAACGTCAACTTATCAATTCATCACTACGATAAACTCAAACGAGCTCATTGGCGGTGTTGACCCAACAAATGATATGCCCAGCCCACCTCACCAGTGGGTATAAGGCACTACGTTGACAGTGCCGCGGTGTTTCCGCCCTTGTTTCCTGTGTTGTTCCTGCTGTGGTTGCTGTTTCTGATGCTACTACTGTTACTATTATTCGCAGCAACTGGATTTGCTCTTGTTGCAGCTTACCAGCTTACGATCTTCTTGGGGAGAGTGTTGCATGCGGCATTGCTGATATTGGTCTTGATGCCTAAGATAGTGCAAAACGTTTGCTGCTATAAGAGGGTTCCACTTCAGGTCGCCAGTGGAGTGCCTTCGTCTGATGGCGTTGTGGGTGTGCACCATATCTATACAGGAAAATACAAAAGCAAAAAAAAGGAACGAGACATACAAACTCTGCCCTGCAGCTTTCGCAAGGGAACCAAAGGAATACAGCCAAACTAGAGGAAAAGGGAATATCCGAGCTTCGATAACAAAAACGCCCCACCGCACACTTCACCAAACGAAGAGCCAAAACATGAAAGGGAAACAAATATACCAGCATCATATTGTATTGCAGCATTAAATACTTGCTATAAAGCATACAAAACAGTGTGTCGCCCTATTATGGCTTGATATGCACTCCACATATCATACTGCATATTGTGTTCTGCGGCTTACGATCGCGGAATTGATCCATTGTGACTGCAAGAAAAGCAAACACACAAGAGAAAAAAGGGTCATGATTCAGACGAAGTCTCAGTGAGGAGTAGCAGCAGCAAAGTGAGGGGTGGGGGCTACCTCTGGAGCACTGAGATGATTGATTGGTTTGTTTAAACGCGGAAATATATATATATATATATATATATATA